TTTAAACTAATATTTTTATAGCTTGTCTTTTAACCTTAACAACTTGATACATAGTGTGTTCTTTACTAATAGTTAGTTTTTAAAACTAGTAATGACAAACTTGAGTGTATTATAAACATACCTGTAGGTTATGTAGTTTGTTAATTAAACCGAAAGTCTTTACAGTTAATATTTTTTGCCATTAATTTTTCTACATCATGTAATTCTTGTATAACTTGCACAGTGACCAATAAAATATTCATTATATACAAATAACTGTTATAAAAAAATACTTTGTTTTAAATTTTATAGTTTTTACAGAAATGTGTATATTACATTTTACTATTTGTTTGACCACATATGATGCTTTTAATTTCTAGTACGAATGGCATTGAATCATGGAAACACATCTGAAAATTCTCTCTGTGGGAAAGACAAATGGTAAATAGACAACTTAAAGCATATTATTATTATTATGTCCATTTGCTAAATGACAATGGAATAAGAGTTTTAAAAAAATCATTAATATTCTATAATCTTATTACTTTAATAAAAGATGTATAAGAAATGGATTCTTTAGTTATTTTTGTTAAGTTAGTGCCTATAAAACACATTTGCATTTTATACTCATTATTTTAAGTTTTCTCTTACTGAAAAGCAATGGAACCTTATTTGAAACTTGCACAGAAACTTGGGCTTATAACATATTATAACAAGATTTCAAATTATTGAAATTTAAAGTGACTTGGCTAAAATATTCTAGACAATTAAGCCAAAATGGATAATAGCTTGAAATTCTAAGATATGCATTAAAGGTTAGGTGGAATGATTTATGCATGGTTTGTAGTGTGTATAAATAAGGACAACATTATAAGAGAAGAAAAAATTGTAAAATCCACATAATCTCTCTCTCTCTCCCATCAATAAGATTCACCTCACCTGTGGATACAAATAAGAAAACACTAGAATATCAGACTGTTTTTTTTTCTTTTATTAATTTTTTTTTACTGGTTTCATGCCTTCAAAGATCACTCTTCAAGAAGTAGTTTCACTGAGAATATCTAACAAAAAGTATACAAATACCACTTTTCAACTAAACTTAAATAACCTAAAATAAATACATGTACTTTCCGAATGTACAATCATATAATTCAGTCCATGTATAAATTAAGTACATTACAAATGTTCAAAAAAAAAGGTCAATGCACTTTTCTTTTTAAATTAAAATCTTATTCTAATTATGTACTTTTTGTTCTTATTATAATAGAAATGCAATATATTTATCTATAATTTCATACTTTTTCTTTTCTGTAAGTCTTAGTAACTGTTTTCACAGTTTCTACTGACTTTACACAACCAATTACTTCTGCTCTCTTGTGGAGTAAATAGGGAGAAAAGAATCAGATTATGCTACCCAGGGGCACAGGTGGAGGATATAACTGACAGAGCAGGAGATATAATAAAGGGGGCTAGCAGAGATGCAGTTTGTGTGGTGTATATAGAGGCTAATGATGTAGGGAAGGGTAGGTCAGAGGAGCTAATTAATAAGTACAAGGGGTTAAATAATGGCATTTAAAGAAAAAGGCCATAATTTAATTTTCTCAGGGATACTTCCCAGAATTAATTGTGGAGATGAAGTTATAAGTAGATCACTAGGGCTAAATGCTAGGCTTAGGTTAGTATTTAAGGATGAGCAAATAGCCTGGTTGAACTTGTGGGATCAGTTCAGTGGAAGAAGGAAGCTATTTGGAAAGGATGGTTTACATTTAAATAGAGTAGGGGCTGGTGTGTTTACTAAGGCTATTAATTCAGCTGTAACTATAAGGGAAGTTTTAAACTAGGACTAGACAGTAGTGAGGGCCAGGAAAAACTAAATGCAAAAAGAATAAGAGGCAGAGAAATGTTTAGCATAGGAAATGAGTATAGAAGTAGTTATAAGGATAGGCTTACTTGTTACTATTGTAATGCTAAAACTATAAGAAATAAAATAGGTGACATTAGAGCACTGGTTGGAATGGAGGATTTTGATATAATAAGAATAACTGAAACATGGTTAAACCTAAATGATTTTGATGACAGAAATTTCCTTGAAATACAGGGTTACAGGCTATTTAATAGGGGTAGATTATTAAAGAGAGGGGGGGGGGGTAAGAGTGGCTTTATATGTAAAATGTGAGTTACATTCTGTTGAAGTTGAGGATATCAAAGATAATAGCAAAGATATTGAATCAATTTGAGTTTCTATTAGTGTATATAAAGGGAAAAGGCTTTAGTGGGAATTTGTTACAGACCACCAAATGATGCTGATGAAATTAGTCAGAAACTTTACAATGAGGTTAAGATTTCAGCTGTTAATGAGGTCATAATTATGGATTATTTTACTTTCAGGCATATAGATTGGGAAATTCTAGAGTCAAACCATGAGGAAGAAAGGTTTTTGGAAAATGTCCAAGCTGGCTTTTTTCACCAGTTAGTCAAGGAACCAACTAGAAATAATGTTATTTTAGGCTTATTATTAACTTCAAATACAGAAATGATCGAGAGGGTGGAAATTGGGGAAC